GTGTGTGTGTGTCACTTCAGACTATATTTGCATCTGAAGAAAATTCTGGAATCTGTGGACATTGTCAAATTGAAATATCCAGAACAAGGCCTCACTTCACCAGCCTAAACATTCAATGACGGGTAATATGGATGTTACCAGTCATGTCATTTTAGAATTAAAGAAAATTACTCTATTTATTCTGGAAGGGACATAAAGAAATAATTAAAAACAAACTATATAAACTATAAGCAAACCATGTAAATCATAATTGTTAATGGTTGGTCCATTCTTTCATTCAGGTATCCTACTGAGATTTATAGATAAAATATTTAAATATACCTTGTATCATTTTGCCCACACATATAAGCATTAATTGATTTTTGACAAAAATATAAGAGCATTTCAATGTGGGAATGAAAAGTCTTTTTTTTTTTAATGGTGCTAGGAAAACTAGATCTCTCTATGAAAAAATGAATACTTATATCCCACAGAGAAATTAATTCAAATGGATCATAGACCTAAATGTAGAACTTAAAACTAGAACTTTTAGAAAAAAAGTAGGAGAAANCCCCCATTACGTGAGGGAAACTGGCCAGTTCCTTGGTCACTGAACTTTAGAGCCACCAGGTATATCCTGCTTTCTAAGAGAATTCATTGCTCAGTTTTGCACTGTCTTAAAACTCACAGATGCAGACCTGACAGAGCAGCTGTACAGAGTCCACCTAATCTTTACAACTCCATATGGCCAATATCCTGGTGTATAAACCCCACCACCATCTCACAGCTGGTCACAGCATCTATTCTACCTGCTGGTATTGACACAGCACAGACACCACACCCATCAGATTCGTCTTAGGTCAAATGAAATACAGTATTTCCTACCTAGTGGTAAATGTATTCACATACTACCAAGCCAAGAAGCATGTTATCTATGGTTCTTCAGCCCAGTTCTTATTTAATAGTTTTATTGCAACCTATTTGGAAACATGTTCTTATTTGCAATGTATGACTTGACTGAACTAAGCTACTTGTTTTGAACAACCAAATCATTGGAACAGGAAAGGATTTAAGAAAAAGGAATGCATAATCTCAGTGTGATAAAAAAAAAA